GGGGAAGATATCTGGTCTTGTCTTTGTTGGGAATGTGGTCTGTTCTTTGATTTCTGTTGCCCACTCTTGATCCTAAGCAAGTGTGGGGACTGTAGGGGTCCCTGGTAGAGAGTGTTTCTGGGGGTCAGTGGGTGTCACAGGGAATGCAGATGGGACAAAGGAGAGTCTGGAAGAGGCTGTGGGGAAGAGCTAGGGGGACCCTGGGTCCTCACCAAGAGGTGGGGTCCCTAGGGGATGAAAATGGGATGGGAAAAAGTGCTCCTGTGGGCAGGCTGCAGCAGGATTAATAGCTAGTCTGGAAAGGACTATGGAAGGATACTGTCCATGCAACTTTAAATATATATATATATTAAAGATAGAGCATGGAAGTTTGAAAGAAAATGGCCCCCAAAGGGAAGTGGCACTATTAGGAGATGTGGCTTTGGTGGAGTGGGTGTGTCCTTGTTGGAGGAAGTGTGTCACTGTGGAGGCGGGCTTTGAGATCTCATATGCTCAAGCTATACACTCATGGAGCCAGTCTACTTCCTGTTGCCTGCATATATATATATATATATATATATATATATGTATACATATATATATATACATATATATATATATGCAACATATAGCAGCTCCTCCTCCAGCATCATGTCTGCCTGCATGCCACCATGTCCCACCATACTGATAATAGGCTAAACCTCTGAGACTGTAAGGCACCACCTCAATTAAATGTTTTCCTTTATAAGAGTTGTCATGGTTGCCAGGCGGTGGTGGCACATGCCTTTAATCCCAGCACTCAGGAGGCAGAGTCAGGTGGATCTCTGATCTACAGAGTGAGATCCAGGACAGGCACCAAAACTACATAGAGAAAAAAAAAAAGATTTGCCATGGTCATGGTGTCTCTTCACAGCAATAGAAGCCTTAACTAAGACTATAATAGAGTTTCTGTATGTAGCCTGGCTGGCCTAGAATTCAATATGTAGACCAGACTATCCTCTAACTCACAGAGGTCTGCGTGCCTCTGCATCCCAAATGCTAGGATTAATGGCGTGACCCATCATTACCTGGTTAATTATCATTAAGAAAAACAGCAACGGCTGGGATTTGCTAAATTGCCCAGGCTAACCTTAAACTTACTCTGTAGCCCAGGAAAGTCTTGGACTTGTGCTCACACACCTCAGCTTCAAAGCAGCCACAATTACAAGCCTGTGCTTCCAGGCCCAGATGCCACCTTATCTTCCATCAATCGACTTAATCTGGATTCTCTATTAAATTCCTGGTGCACAATTGGGAAACCTCAGTTCCGACACTCCTGGGGAGCCTGCCTCACTTCTGTCCCTATAAATAAATACATCACAGTTCTGTACACGCAAACCATTCCTAACAGACAAGGAGAGGTTAGCCCTTGTGGCAGCTATCTGGTCACGTGGATTTCGTTGATCTGTAGCATGGCTGCCTACTGCTTGCTTTTCAGCCACACAAGAAAAGAGCATCTTTTATGAGGTTCAAAATCCTTCTGGTCCAGCCTTCCCTTTCTAGGTGCCCCCAAGCGACTCCTCTCCAAGGTACTTCGATTAAATCTGCATTCGAGAGGACTGCCCTATTCCTTCCCTCACACTAAGCAGACAAGGGGCTCCAAAGATGCTCCGCAATTAAGAGCACTTGCTGGTTTCTCAGAGGACCAGAGTTCGATTCCTAGTACGCATGCCAGGTGGGTACCTACACACACACACATAAATAAAAATTAAACCTTGTAACAACAGCAAAGCCTAAGCAGGAAAACTCAAAGGCAACATTAAATTAGTCCAAATGACCGGATTTTCTGAAATTTGTTCTCTTAGGACTTGACGACAGAATGGATTAACCAGTACTATTATTGCTTTCTTTTTAAAACAGGATCTTATGTATCCCAGACTGACTCAAATTATCTATGTAACCTGAAGGTTCCCTTGGATGTTTACCCTCCTCCTGCCTCTGCCGTCCATGTCTGGCTTCCGCAGTGCTGGGGGACATACCCAAGGTGCCATGCATTTGAGGCAAGTCCTCCTCTCAACTAGCTCCATCCTCAGCCTGTTTATTGCCTTAAATAAAACAGAACCACTTGATCAGTTTGAGAGGCAACTAGGCAGTGGGACCAAGTCCTGTGCTCATTGCATGAGTTGGCTGTTTGAAACCTGGAGCTTATGCAGGGACACTTGGCTCAGTCTGGGAGGAAGGGACTGGACCTCCCTGGACTGAGTCTACCAGGTTGATCACAGTCCTCGGGGGAGGACTTGTCCTGGAGGAGGTGGGAATGGGGGGTAGGCTGGGGATAAGGGGAGGGGGTGGGAGGGGGAGAATAGGGGAACCCATGGCTGATATGTAGAACTGAATGGTATTGTAAAATAATATTTATATATATATAAATGCTATTAAGAATCCTGAAAAAAACAGAACCAAACTGTATACACCGAATGCGGAGAAATTGGGTATAATCACATGAAAAAAAAAAAAGAAACTATAATTCTCCTTAATTTCCCTACCATGAAAACTGAATAACATTCCCCATGTGCATCCACTAGATGGCGCTACAACCCAGAGACTCCAACTTCTCACGGCTTTGGCAATCAAAAGGAATGAGGTCAGCAAGCCAGGTTCTTGAATTCTGTTCCACTTCAAATGTTGGGTTTGGCCCTGTCCCCAAATTCAGAGTAAAAGAGGTCAGCCTAACCTACGTCGATTAAGTAGCCACGACTATTCCAGTACTCTGCTGCCCAGCTCCTGTCTGTAGCTTCATTACAAAATACTAATGACTGTGGGGGTAAGGGCTTCCTAAACACTGCTGTCAAGGCTTTCAGAGGGAGGAATCATCGGCAGCCGTAAAACATTAGTTCAACTGTTTTCAAAGACACAGGATGCTGTTTGTCCTTTCATTTGAGAATAACACAATTTTAGCACGAACTGTTGGTTCTGAGATTGAGGGACATGGGGTGGTGTGTACAGCTGTGTGTAGTAGGTGTGGACTTACTATGTGGACGATCATATGGACTTTATGAGGAGCGGGCTGCACGGGCCAGGAAGGATGTGCAAAACTGGAAACTGCCAGGAAACCTTCTTCCAACCCAAGCTCTGCCACTTACGTGTTTCAGGGGTTTTCTTTCCTTTTGAGAAAGGACCTGGCTTTGTCACCAAGCTGAGCTGGAACTCCTGATCCTCCTGCCTCAGCCTCCTAAGAAACAGGACTACAGATACTCTCCACAAGGCCCAGGTCAGTTTTATTTTGAGACAGTTTGTGCCAGGTTGGTCCTGATTATATAGTTGAGATCAGCCTCAGACTCTTTACCCTCCTGCCTCTGCCTCTCAAGTGTTGGGATTATAGGTACGTACCACCACACACAACTTTAAAAACAACAACAAATTTATTGACTCTCAACCAGGATTTATTTTTTACTTTGCTGGCTTATGGTTTGGGAGTTCTGTGTTTGTTTGAGACCAAGTCTCATATACCCTGGGTGGCCTCGAACACCTTGAGTACCCAAGGATGATTCTCCTTGTTCTACCTCTGAGTGCTGGAATTATAGGCTTGCTCCACCACACCTCATTTGATGCAGTTCTGGGGACTGAACTCAGAACTTTGTGTATTACAGACAAGCACTCTATTACCTGACGACCTGGCAAACCTATATATTTACTAACTTGTGTGTTTCTGAGACGTAGACTTACTATATACCCCAGTCTGGCCTGGAACTCGAGCTCCTCCAGGTCCAGCCTCAAACACGTGTCCATCATACCTACACAGCACAAGCATTCTGCTAGCCGTCTATCACATATAGTTGAAAACTTCAGCAGTAATCTCAGTACTCCAGAGGTTGAAGCGGGAAAGCCTGGAATCCAAACCTGGCTTGGACTCCATATGTGTATTAGATTTTAAGGGGAAAAATAACCTTTCAGGGCCCAAGTTCTCAGTTTTGCCCCCTGAAACTTAAATATACAAAACTCAACGGGTCATCTCATTAAATGTAAAATCTAATCCAATAGGTCTGATGCGGACCTGAAGTTCTGCATTTTGCCTATTTATTTATCTTGAGACAGTCTCATGCAGGCCAGGCTGGTTTCAAACCCCCTTTATATAGCCAAGGATGACCTAGAAATCCTAGTCCTTCTGCCTCAACCTTTCAAATCCTGTAGCTTTCTTATGCAGGTCAGTAACCAATATCTGCAGTGGGAAGTGCTTTTCCAAACTAAGAATTGGATAAACTATCTCTACATTAGTGTTTGTAACTTGATCTCTTTGCTGATTGAAAACTGGGGTCCCCATGCTTGTATAGCCAGCCTTTACCCACTGAGCTATCTCCTCAAGCCCTGATTTTTGTTCTTTGAGACAAGGCTTCATGCAGCCCAGGCTAAACTTGGCTACGTGCCAGAGACTGGCCTTGAATTTCTGATTTCCTGTCTCTGCTTCCTAAGTGCTGGGCTCACAGTCTTGTCCCACCACACCCAGTCTTAGTTTTCATACAATTTTTCCTTCCAACATTAAAGAATGGCTTCGTGTACTTAAGAAGTAGAAAGAAAAGCCAGAAAACAGGCCGACAGTTGACCTACACTCTGGCTCACAGCTGCCTTTTCAAAGCCCCCGGTTTTCTATGGAATAGCTCTAGCCACTCCTTGAGTTGTGAAAAACTCATTAGGAAGCCTCGGCTTCAGAGACTTCATATCCCTTAGGGAAGATACATTTAAAAGGGGGGGAGGGGAGACAGTGTTCCTATGAGGCATTCTTAGAGTACTAGCATTTTCTTCAATAAGCTTTTGTAATGGGGAAAATTATAATTCCAAAACACAAGCTTTAGAGACCTGTTAGCACATTGTGGATTGAGTAACCCTTGGAGACCAAGCAATCTACTGGCTAGACAGCCTGGAAACAGCCACTGGACCAATCAGCTGCCTGGAAACAGTTCTTGGTCCAATCAGCTACCTAGAAACAGTACCCCAACCAATCAGCTGTTTTCTAAGAATTATTTCCCCCTAAAATCTGCCCCTGTTGTCTGACAAACCGAAACCAGAACAATAAAATGTACCTGAATTTGCTTCCAGACTGACTTCCTCAGCCCCAGATGGGCCGTGGCCAGCTTGACAGACAAGAACTCTGTCCTCGGTGGGATTCTTGCTGCAACAAGTAATTTTTTTTTTTAACTACATCATATCATTTTGGGATGAGGTAAGGCATAGATTTCAAAATATATCATTGTAGTTGTCCCCATGTGGGTTCATGTGAGGAAGTTTTTGTTTGGGGTGCAGTCTTGGCTATCCCTGAGAATGAGCTGCATAGTGTTTGAAATGCTGGATGCCCGGTCGGACCGACGAAGTCAGTGTCCTCTCATTCCTTGTTAACTTCTGCAGGTGATTCTGTGTGGATTCAGTCAGAGAAGCATCACCTCACTCAGTCTTAGCAAGGGCAGCAAGCACCCTGAAAGGGGCTTCCTGCTTAGGTTGCTTTCTCTTGTTCTGGGTTGCACAGTCAGTTTTTCTGCCGGTGGGCTGTCAATAAGAAGGAAGTTACAGAGAGGCACCAAGGACTAGGGTAAGGCAGCCTGGGCCATCCTGAGCTCTCTGAGGGAATATGACGTAGTGTAAGTGAGAGCCCACAAGTGTAGTGCTGCAAAGATTTTTCCCTTTCCTCGGTTTGTACTGTTAGAACATCGTCATTTTTACACCCTTTGTCGGGGGAACCCGGGTCTGTATTTGAAATTTAACTCTCTATCATTCACCTCCAGTCAATCAAAATGGGGGAGGGAGTGTCTGTCTGATGAGGTATCACAGGGTAATGTGGTTAGCTTTGTACTTGGTGTGTTCACCATAGACAGCAAGCTAAGAGTTAATACAGAATGGTTGGGGTGACCCAATTGCAGAAGCTGGCATTCCTAAGAGGTAATTAGTAAGTTGCAGTGCCTAGGCTTAGAAAGGAGCCTTCGGCAGTGTGTTCGAATGCATCCTCGGGCTGGTTACGCAACCAAAGAGATCATAACCTGATCGCTTCTGTAATTTGAGCATTTCGGGTACCACTATAACACTTCACGGAAGGTGTTGCTGGCTGCATAGGCTGGGAAGTAAAACTCTGGAGACAGGGCAGAAAAGGAGTCTCTGTGCATTTCTGCCACCGTATGAAAGAGAGAACACATCTCTATGGGGGCTTGTCTCAGAGGGGGGACGTTCCTGAATTATTGAGCCCATGAAAAGGAAATTGGCCCTATAATGACTCCACCCGATGGTATCTCCAGGCCCTTTTGGAAACAGGAACTCCTTGGGGAGTATCCAACCAGATCCAGTCACAACCTGGCTCTGGGGTTTACAGTCCCGGAGCAGCCTGGTCCTTAAACACTTCCATTAGCTGGGCATCCTAGTGCATAACCCGTAGTGATGAAGCAGGGGGATCGGTGTGAGCTACAGGCCAGCCAGGGCTACCTAACACCATCCAGTCTCAGAAAACACGACAGGGCTGCCAAGATGGCTGCGAGGCAAAGGCACATGTCACTAAGCCTGACAACTTGAGCTTAATCCCTATAGTCACATAATGGAAGGAGATGATCTGCTCCCCCAAATTGTCCTTTGACCTGCATACAAGCACTGTGGCATGCACCCCACCCCTTCACACACACACACACACACACACACACGTTTAAAAAATTAAAAACAAAACAAAAATAAACTCGAAGTACAGCATGCAGTAGGAAAAGACTTTTTAGTAATGTTATTCTTTGAGGTTATGATTACATCATTTCCTCCTTCCCTTTCTCCTTTCAAACCCTCTCATGGACCGACTCCCATTGCTCTCTTCCAAATTTATGGCCTTGTTTCCTTTAATTGTTGTTACACACATGCATATGCATGTGAACACACACACACACACACACACACTTACACAAATACAACCTACTCAGTCTGAATAATGTTACTTGTATGTATGGTTTCAGGACTGACTTGGTTTTGGTTAACCTATTGGTACGTTCTTCCCCAGGGAAGACTATTTCTCCCACTCTCTGTGTTCCTTAGCTGCCTGTAGTTCTGTGTGAGGGGTTGAAGTCTCCTGCCCCGCCCCCATCCAAGTTAGCATTTCTGTGGTTCTTGTTCTGCTCACTGTCAGGCAGTCCTGTTGGTGAGACTGTGTGAGTGTAGCTTCTGACCTTCCTAGGGGACACAGTCTCACAGCAGATTTCCTGTTGCTCTGGCTCTTACAGTATTTCTGCCCCCTTTTCTGCGGTGATCCCTGAGCAGGAGTTGTGTGCAGATCTATCAGCTGGGACTGGGCTCCACTCTGCATTTGGATTGATTGTATTTTTTCTGTAATGGTCTGTGTCTGCTGCAAGAGGTTTCCTTGGTGAGGGGTGATGACTACGTGTATTTGATTAGACCCTGGAGAAGGATCAGGATTTTTTTTTTTTTTAATTAAGACAGGGTCTTTGGTAGCCCAGGCTGGCCTTAAGCCCTCCACATACCTGAAGATGACCTTAACTACTGAGCCTCTGTCCCTACTTCTAAAGTTCTGGAATTACAGGTTGGGATCACAATACCCTACTTATGCTACACAGAGGCAAGTTCTCTACCAGCTGAGCTACACCTTGATGCCTAGGAAAAGGCTTCAAAACGTAATTACATTTACATTTTACTTTGGTATGAGTTGTGGCCTGCATGTATGTATGTCTGTGCATCGCATGCATCTCTGGTACCTTTGAAGGTCAGAAGAGACATCAGATCCCCTGGATTAGAGTTATGGGCAGTGGTAAACTACCATGTGGCTCTGGGAACCAAACCCAGATCCTCTTCAAGAGCAGCTCATGCTCTTAGCCACCCAGCATCTCTGCATCGCTACATTTACATTTTAGTTAGTTAGAGCAGCCCTCTCTTGATTCCCCTCCATTAGTCACAGTAATAAGAGCAAGTCTCAGGTACATGGAGGACACACAGCAAATTGTATTCTTCTGGTATCTAAAGGTACCTTAAAAATACATTACGGGGCTGAGGAGGCAGCTTAGTTGATAGGGTGCCTGCTCAGCAGGCATGAGGCCTTAGGTTCTGTCCACAGCCCTGAATAAACAGGCATGATGGCACATGTCTGTGATCCTGCACTGGGGAGATAGGGGCAAGAGGATCAGGTGTTCAAGGTCATCCTTGGCTACAAAGGGAATTTGAGGCCAGCCGGGGCTACATTAAGCCTTGTCTCCAAACAAACAAAACCATTTAAATAGGCATATTAACTCTTTCAAGCTGTTCAGCTATTTGTGAGATTCTTTTTTTTTTTTTTTTTTTTTGCAAGGAGGTGGCACCTTCTTTTCCACCAGAGCTAACAGTTGCACAAGCATGTACGATTGGCCATAAATGGAATGAGAGTGGTTACGGATACAGCTCTTACAGAGCGCTTGCCTGCCTTCCAACAAGCCCTGGGTGCCATACCCAGCCCTGAACAAAACCAGGTTAGGTGATGCATGGCTGTAATCTCAGCACTCCTGAGGTAGAAGCCAAGAATCAGAAGTTCAAGGTCATCCTCTGCTATGGAGAAAGTTCAAGGCCAGCCTGGGGCTACAGACCCTGACTATAAATAAGTTTAATTAATTAATAAAATGACTGACATAAAAATCTTTTCATTAAAATACATGAGCTTCGATAACATTATTAAATATATACTTGTGATATTCTCTAATGAGCAGAGATTAAGACATTTTTAAAATATAGGCTTTCTCTTTATAATTTTTTGTTGTTGTTGATTTTTTTGAGACAGGGTTTTTTTGTGTAGCCCTGTCCTGGAACTCACTCTGTAGATCAGGAACTCCAGGCTGTCCTGGAACTCACTCTGTAGACCAGGCTGGCTTTGAACTCACAGAGATCCACCTGCCTCTGCCTCTGAGAGCTGGGATTATGGGTGTGTGCTGCCACTGCCCGGCTCCCTATCACTTTAGATGAAGGACTCCTGAGATTTTCTCCCCTGGTTCTCTGAGATTGCAATCTTTGTGCGTGTCCATTGTCACCAAGTCCTTTTCTTTACCTGGGGAATTGTGGCTTTTTTTTTTTTTTTTTAGTTTTTTTATTGTATATTCTGAAATAAAACTATAAATTTTCCTTTCTGCTGCTCCAAGTCTTCAGTGGCAGCAGGCAACAGGAAACAGTTTATATACAGGCAGCAGCCAGCAATTAGGTGGTGTTTTCTCACTTAGTGAGAGACGTGGTCACTTATGGTTTTGTTCAGTCCTTCATAAGGAGAAAGTGTACTTCTGGGTTATAATGTTTAAGACTTGCTGAGGATGTATCAGACCCCATCAGTAGAGTGCAAAATGTTAGTAATCCCGGTGCTCAGGAGGCAGAGGACAGAAAGTCAGAAATTCAAGGTCATTCTTGGCTACATAGGAATTCAAGGCCAGCCTGGCCTACTTAAATAAATAAAGATAGATAGATAGATAGATAGATAGATAGATAGATAGATAGATAGATAGATAAAGAAATTTCTCCTGCTTTGAATAAAAACAGGGGACTTTTTATTATATCATCTAAAACTAAAATGTTAAACAACATCAAATTTTCTCTCAGTAGTACTTTAGTAATCTCAGTGTGATTGCAACAGCATAATGAATTTTATTTAGTGACCTGAGAAACTGGAATACAGCCATTGTATGGAAGCTTATTTCCCAGAGCGTGGATGGTGGGAGCTCACAATTGTGACTCGTCATGGGTGTGAGCTGACAATGTAACTCACAATGACAGTTCTCGGTAGACAGAGTCACCAGTTCAATCACACGTCTGTCCTGCCATTCTTCTCCATTGATTGTCCCATCACCTTTGTAGAAAAGCCAGTTAACTGTATGCATGTAGGCATGTTTCAGAATTCTTTTCCTTTTAAGCAAGTTCTTCATTTTCAATAACACATAGTAATTCATGTATGCACAGAGTACAGTGTGACGCCTGCAGACAACGTACAGTGTCAGATCAGGATGGCTGGCCTAGCTATTATCTCAGACGTCCTTTGAGCTGGGAACAAGCACAATATTCTTTACTCATTATTTTGAGTATCCAGTTCATTGTTGTTAACTTTGCTACCTACTATGCTAGATTCTATTCTGTCCCATTGTTCTACTTCTACCAACATTATGCTGTCTAGATAATTCTAAAAAGAAACAAAACCCAGTGATTTGGCAAACTGCTCTTGCAGAGGACCAGAGCTTGGTTCGCAGC